AAAAAAAAAAAAATTGCCACAGGATCATAGGGAAACCTTGACATGCGTCTGAACCAAAGCTCACACTTTATAGACATAGAAACCTGGGCTCAAAGAGCTGCTCAAACAATGATGAGTGCCTGGAAAGAGAGTTCCAACAGACATTTAGGACAATACTGTTATGAGATGTTTACTTACATATGTTACTTTATACAGGGGGAAAAATACCTTTAAAAAACTATTCAGACAACAGTACTCTCATCTTTGTCCTGGCATATGCATAATATACTGTTAACAGCTGATGAAAAATATGATCAGGTTTAAAAAGTTTAAGGGGATCTCGAGAAATTTTTAACTACGATTTCTCCTTTTGTGCAGGATTTTTAATCGATACATGTATGTAACTAACACAAAACCACCCGTGATGATGCTACAGCACAATGGGTCTCAAGCGTCCCTGACGTCATACTTACCACATGTGCTGTTTGGCTTTAGGGTCCATACCTGTGGATGGCTCGTCTAGCAGAGTAACGGGAGGGTTCCCCAGCATACTCAGAGCAAAACACAGCTGGAGGGAAAGAAAACGGAGCGCCGGGAGGCTATAAGAAACTCTATCAGGTGGACCTAGAGTCTGTCATACGGAGTGAAGTCAGTCAGAAAGAGAAAAACAAATACCGTATGCTAACACATATATATGGAATCTAAAAAAAAAAAAAAAAGGTTCTGAAGAACGTAGGGGCAGGACAGGAATAAAGACGCAGACGTAGAGAATGGACTTGAGGACAGGGGGAGGGGGAAGGGTAAGCTGGGACGAAGTGAGAGTGGCATGGACATATATACACTACCAAATGTAAAATGGATAGCTAGTGGGAAACAGCCGCATAGCACAGGGAGATCAGCTCCGTGCTTTGTGACCACCTAGAGGGGTGGGATAAGGAGGGTGGGAGGGAGATGCAAGAGGGCGGGGATATGGGGATATATGTATACGAATAGCTGATTCACTTTGTTATACAGCCGCAACTAACACAACAATGTAAAGCAATTATACTCCAATACAGATGTTAAAAAAAATAAGAAACAGAATGTGAAAAAAGAAAAGAAAAAAAAAAAAAGCAACTCTACCAGGCACCAGACTATACACACACTTGTCGCTTAATAAAAGTACCTTTCGCTTGATTCCTGCAGGTAGTTTCTTTACTGTTTTCTGCAGATGTTCTTTTAAATCAAGTGCATTTGTTATTCTGCAAAATACACAATACACAATGAGTGTAGCATGATGCACACAAATACAAATATAAAGTGATCACTGACACTGTTTTTTTCCGAAAACAATTACTCTGTTGAAGCTCACTTTAAATAAATTAATATCTTGATGAAAAGGTTCACTTTGAAATAGGTTTCATGACATTTATAGGTACATTCATTCTGTATTTATAAATGAAAATGTTTCCTTTGCGTTTCATGGCTGTGTCATAATTTGGTAAAAAGAATATATGAACAATTAATGATCTTCTTCTATGAAAATTATGATCCACGGAAGTGCCTGCTATGAAATTTTAAAGCCGTGGCATGTGAACCTTTCTCCAGGTAACAAAAGGGTTCTGAAGACAATTATTTTACCGAATTATGACCTCTTTCATGTCACTGGCACTCATTCCTTTCACAGCTCCATAAATTTCAAAATGTTCCTGTAATGTAATCTCTGGCCACAGTGGGTTTATCTGAGGACAGTAGCCCATACACTTTACGGAATCGTCATCTCCAGCTGGGTCTGAAGAATAGTCTCTTAGAAATACCTGCAGAAGTACAAACCAAGTGTAATGACTATTTTTGCTTAACTTACATCGAAAAGGAAGTGGCAAGTGGGTTAATTCAAACTCCTTCCAAACTCCTGACTTCCTAAAGTCAGGGTCACAGCAGGTCAGATTCTCACCCTTTTCTGATGAAGAAACGACACACATGGCTGCGTCAGAGATGAGTGACATGGCCAGAAAAGGTGGCCAGGGATGCAGGGTTGGGTGGGAAGGCAAGGTCCGTTTTAACCAGGAGGGTCGGGGGGCCCCACGGAAAGGTGATTTCTGAGCCAAGGGAACAAGTGAATTTGATCATCTGGTTTTCTGTGGGGTAAGGAATAGCCAACATAAGGAAACCCTAAGGTAAAAGGAAGAGTAAAGTGTGCCTGGCATTTTCCAGCAAAGAATGAGCCAGCGTGGCTGGTGTGAGGGAAGCAGGTTCCTGTAATCACAGGCTAGCTGACGCCAAGGTCAAGATTAGCTCCTCTATTTCCTGAAGTTAATACAACGGGCCTCCATTAAGTCAGTGGACAAATCACCCATGCTTGTAATCAGCATAAAAGCAGAAATACTGTGCATGTGTGTGTTCTGCATGTGTGCATGCAAATTTGACTATGTACGTTATTCTCACAGATAACCAACAAGATCATAATTTGATCAAGCTATCCTAAAAAATTAATACTAAAAACATGAAATTTGAGCATCAAAATCCCATCTGTCACTAAGAAATTTATTTTACTTAAAGACATAAATCATATTCGATATATCCCACATCATTATACCATACCTGGCCTGAAGTTGGCTCTATATCACCAACCAGAATATTAATAATCGTACTTTTGCCTGCACCATTTGGACCCAATAGTCCCAAGATCTCTCCTAAAGGAATTAAAAGAAAAATTGTCATATGTAAATCAAACTAAAAAGTGAAAACTGCTCTTCCAGAGAAGTTATTCAAGAAAAAATAATTAAATACCAGCCTTTTTTCACACAGAAGGAGACATATTTATTTGCCACTTTCTTTATTTTTCTTGTAGGAAGAAAATCTTTCTTGTCTTCATATTCTTTATGCAAATTGTTGACCATAATGGCTGGCTTCTAATAAGGGAAATAGGATTTAAAAAAAGAGTTATAACTCAGATATCCATCGTTCAATGACAGGCCGTACAGAGCTCATGGCCATATCGTAAGAACTATATTTGCTAATAAGGGGTACTGCATAGATAACTATCCATCTATGACGGGAATAATGGCTTGTTCAAAAGAAAGTGGACAAACATATTTTTTCAAAGACAAACTTCTTGGCAATCGATTCATATAAGGGGACAATTTTCGAGGCTAACCCTGTGCGGAGGGGCTGCTCACTGCTCACCGCACGCGGCTCAGCAAGAGAGACTGAGTTACCTCCTCGTGGTGCTGGCAGCTCAGCAATTCTTTGACCTTCACCCTTTCAGCTCTGACATCTTCATCTTCATCCTCATTGTTTGGTGGTTCCGGAAACTTCCTACTTTTGGACTTTGTTGTAAGGGTCCTGAAAGTATAAATAGATTTTCAAATAATTAAAATGGTAAGAAATTGAAGCACTACATAGAGAAAAGACTGAAAAAAATATAGCAACATGAGACCTGTTGTCGGAGATCAGTTATCTCTTAAAGGTAGAAATTACAGAGCTATTTTTCACTCACATCATTTGGATGATATTATCTAAATTCATTCATTTATTCAACAATTATTTATAACCAGCATGTGTCAAGCACTAGTCCACAGAAAGATAAAAAAGATTTTTAAAAAACAACACAGACCCTGCTCTCAAAGAATTTACGTCTTGGGTGTACATGAGATGACCCAGGCAGCGTGGACAGAGAGGCTGAAGTCAGCATCCGTAGCAACACCATAAAGGTGGGCAGAGGAAAGAGCGCTTCCAAAGGAAATTCTGAAGTACTATTAAGAGAGGTAAAGAGGCAAATAGAAGTTGACATTATGGGGAAAACAAAAAAAGAAAGAAAGAGGAGAAAAGTTTCAGGGAAGAAGTCAGTCACATTTAAGGCTGTAGATCAGTTAAAGACAGTGAGCCTGTTTTACCAGACAGAGAGGAGCCATTAGTTTACCTTACCGCAAACAGGAGCAGTCAAGAGGTGAGGGCAGGAGCCAGGTGGCAGGGATTAGGGAGTGAATGGGACATGAGAAAGGAGGTGACAAACTGGAGGTGGAAGCTTTCTGGCCATAAAAGGAAAGAGACTGTCTTTTCTCCATTGTATATTCTTGCCTCCTTTATCAAAGATAAGGTGACCATATGTGCGTGGGTTTATCTCTGGGCTTTCTATCCTGTTCCACTGATCTATATTTCTGTTTTTGTGCCAGCACCACACTGCCTTGATTACTGTAGCTTTGTAGTATAGTCTGAAGCCTGGGAGACTGATTCCTCCAGCTCTGTTTTTCTTTCTCAAGATTGCTTTGGCTATTCGGGGTCTTTTGTGTGTCCATACAGACTGTGAAATTTTTTGTTCTAGCTCTGTGAAAGATGCCAGTGGTAGTTTGACAGGGATTGCATTGAATCTGTAGATTGCTTTGGGTAGTGCAGTCATTTTCACAGTGTTGATTCTTCCAATCCAAGAACATGGTATATCTCTCCATCTATTTGTATCATCTCTAATTTCTTTCATCAGCGTCTTATAATTTTCTGCATACAGGTCTTTTGTCTCCTTAGGTAGGTTTATTTCTAGGTATTTTATTCTTTTTGTCGCAATGGTAAACGGGAGTGTTTTCTTAATTTCACTTTCAGATTTTTCATCATTAGTGTATAGGAATGCAAGAGATTTCTGTGCATTAATTTTGCATCCTGCTATTTTACCAAATTCACTGATTAGCTCTAGTAGTTTTCTGGTAGCGTCTTTAGGATTCTCTATGTAGAGCATCATGTCATCTGCAAACAGTGACAGCTTTACTTCTTCTTTTCCGATTTGGATTCCTTTTATTTCCTTTTCTTCTCTGATTGCTGTGGCTAAAACACCCAAAACTATGTCGAATAAGAGTGGTGAGAGTGGGCAACCTTGTCTTGTTCCTGATCTTAGTGGAAATGGTTTCAGTTGTTCACCATTGAGGACGATGTTGGCTGTGGGTTTGTCATATGTGGCCTTTATCATGTGGAGGTAAGTTCCCTCTATGCCTACTTTCTGGAGGGTTTTTATCATAAATGGATGTTGAATTTTGTCAAGAGCTTTCTCTGCATCTATTGAGATGATCATATGGTTTTTCTCCTTCAATCTGTTAATATGGTGTATCACACTGATCGATTTGCGTATATTGAAGAATCCTTGCATTCCGGGGATAAACCCCACTTGATCATGGTGTATGATCCTTTTAATGTGCTGTTGGATTCTGTTTGCTAGTATTTTGTTGAGGATTTTTGCATCTATGTTCATCAGTGATGCTGGCCTGTAGTTTTCTTTTTTTTGTGGCATCTTTGTCTGGTTTTGGTATCGGGGTGATGGTGGCCTCGTAGAATGAGTTTGGGAGTGTTCTGCCCATATACAGTGGAGAAAGGACAGCCTCTTCAATAAGTGGTGCTGGGAAAACTGGACAGCTACATGCAAAAGAATGAAATTAGAACACTCCCTAACACCATACACAAAAATAAACTCAAAATGGATTAAAGACCTAAATGTAAGGCCAGACAGTATCAAACTCTTAGAGGAAAACATAGGCAGAACACTCCATGACATAAATCACAGCAAGATCCTTTTTGACCCACCTCCTAGAGAAAGGGAAATAAAAACAAAAATAAACAAATGGGACCTAATGAAACTTCAAAGCTTTTGCACAGCAAAGGAAACCATAAATAAGATGAAAAGGCAACCCTCAGAATGGGAGAAAATATTCGCAAACAAAGCAACGGACAAAGGATTAATCTCCAAAATATACAAGCAGCTCATGCAGCTCCGTATCAAAAAAACAAACAACCCAATCCAAAAATGGGCAGAAGACCTAAACAGACATTTCTCCAAAGAAGATATACAGATTGCCAACAAACACACAAAAGAATGCTCAACATCATTAATCATCAGAGAAACGTGCAAATCAAAACTACAATGCGATATCATCTCACACCTGTCAGAATGGCCATCATCAAAAAATCTACAAACAACAAATGCTGGAGAGGGTGTGGAGAAAAGGGAGCCCTCATACTCTGTTGGTGGGAATGTAAATTGATACAGCCACTATGGAGAACAGTATGGAGGTTCCTTAAAAAACTAAAAACAGAACTACCATATGACCCAGCAATCCCACTACTGGGCATATACCCTGAGAAAACCATAATTCAAAGAGAGTCATGTACCACAATGTTCACTGCAGCTCTATTTACAACAGCCAGGACATGGAAGCAACCTAAGTGTCCATCGACAGATGAATGGATAAAGAAGATGCGGCACGTATATACAATGGAAGATTACTCAGCCAGAAAAAGAAACGAAATTGAGTTATTTGTAGAGAGGTGGATGGATCTAGAGTCTGTCATACAAAGTGAAGTAAGTCAGATGAGAAAAACAAATACCGCATGATAACACATATATATGGAATCAAAAAAAAAAAAAAAGGGCATGAAGAACCTAGGGGCAAGACTGGAATAAAGATGCAGACGTAGAGAATGGACTTGAGGACACGGGGAGGGGGAAGGGTAAGCTGGGACGAAGTGAGAGAGAGGCATGGACATATATACACTACCAAATGTAAAATAGACAGCTAGTGGGAAGCAGCCACATAGCACAGGGAGATCAGCTCGGTGCTTTTTGACCACCTAGAGGGGTGGGATAGGGAGGGTGGGAGGGAGACACAAGAGGGAAGAGATATGGGGATATATGTATATGTATAACTGATTCACTCTGTTATACAGCAGAAACTAACACACCACTGTAAAGCAATTATACTCCAATAAAAACGCTAAAATATATATATATATATATATATATATATATATATATATATACGTATGATCAAAAAGAAAACAGGAAAGAGAGGGGATAAGAGCTAGAGCGGGACTCAGGTTTCAGTGCGATTGATGAGTACTTTGTCTTATATGGGAGGAAGGCGACCCCCTCCCAAAGGGAAATACACCCTAATAAGATCCAAAAGGGAAAGACACAGAAAGAGAGAGCTGACTGAGCAACATCCTTAAGCAGACAGAACACAGGAAGACTTGGATAACAAGGGGGACACCCTCCTCTGGGGCTGGGAAAAAGCAAAAGTGACTAAAGATGTGGACAAGTGTGTACACGTTTTATAATTTATAATCAGGTGCTTCTGTTTCCTGAGACAGATGGCAAGATCATCCACTGAGAAGTACGAAGTGAGGTGAGCTGAGGTGACTCTGAGAATCTGAGGGATACAAAGAAGGCCTGCGAGAAGTACAGAAAAGAAAAAGATAGGAGGGGACTTCCCCGGTGGCGCAGTGGTTAAGAATCCGCCTGCCAATGCAGGGGACCTGGGTTCGAGCCTTGGTCTGGGAAGATCCCACATGCCGCGGAGCAAGTAAGCCCGTGTGCCACAATTACTGAGCCTGCACTCTAGAGCCCATGTGCCACAACCACTGCAGCCCGTGTGCCTAGAGCCTGTGCTCCGCAACAAAGAGAAGCCACCGCAATAAGAAGCCCACGCACCACAACAAAGAGTAGCCCCTGCTCGCCACAACTAGGGAAAACCCCACGCACAGCAACGAAGACCCAACTCAGCCAAAAAATAAATAAGTAAATAAAAAAAAAAAAAAGAAAAAAAAGAAAAAGATAGGAAGCTGCTGAGTAGGTAGAGGCGTAGGGCTGCCAAAGAGCGTTAAAACAGAGCTGAGTTTCTATGGGATGAGTATGTAGCATCATCAGTGGCTCTGATGCAAACAGAGGGTGAAGTGGAACAGAGACAAAAGTCACTGGCTTGGAGAAAATCAGAAACTGAGGGGTTACGGTGTTGGAAGGGTTACCTGTGTGGATGCTGAAATCTCCCCCCCAAATGAGAGCAGGAGTAAAGGCAAAGACACAGAAGGAGAGCCAGACACTCTGCCTCAATGGATGAGGGGCGGGTCCAGTGGCTAGTGAATAACCACTATACATTTTCCAATCCTTTCCAGTTTTCTCCAGAATGTGAATATTCAACAAATAAACAGATACGTGAGAAATATAAAAAAGAAATTCAGAAGCAATCTGGTGCCAGCGGCCATATTTCAAGAAAGAACTCTCCTTCAAATTTAAAACATCCTTTGGAAAAAAACGCACAGACTTGGAGAAAAAATTTTAAAATATATCTGATAAGAGATTTGTAACCAGAATATATTAAAAAAAACTCAAAGTTCAATAATATAAAGACAACCCGATTTTTTAAATGGGCAAAGGATTCAGATTGACATGTCTCCGAAGTAGGTATAAAAATGAACAATAAGCACATGAAAAGACACTCCACATCATGAATCATCAGGGAAGCGCAAATAAAAACCACAATGAGACACTAATGTGCACCCACGAGAATAGCTAAAATCAAAGAGACAATAACACGCATGGGCAACAACGTGAAGAAAACAGAACCCTCGTCCATTCCTAGGAGTAAAATGGTGCCGTCACTGTGGAAAGCAGTCTGGCAGTTCTTGAAGAGGTTAAACTTTATAAAGCCACCACAATAACCCATCAATCCCACTCCTAGGCATCCTCCCCAGAGAAATGAAAATACACGCCCACACAAATACTTGCACCCAAATGTGCATCGTAGCATATGACTCACAGTAGCCAAAAAGTGGCAACAGCTCAAATGCCAATCAACCGATGAATAGATCAAGTGTGGTATATCCATACAATGTAATATTACTCAGCAAAAACAAACAAGCAAAAAGGTAATGAGGTACTGCTACATGCTACAACGTGGATGAACTTCCAGAACATTATGCCCAAGTAAAAGAAGCCAGACAAGAAAAGACCCCATCTTGCGTAATTCCATTTAAAGGAATGTGTAAAATACGCAGATCTATGGAGACGGAAGTTAGATTAGTGGTTACACAGGGCTGGGGGCTAGCTGAGCGGGGGAAGGACGTGACCAGCGGACGCAGCGTTTCTTTTTGGAGGTGATGGAAATGACCTACAATCAGATTATGGTGATGGCTGCACAACTCTGTCAATATAGTAAAAAAAAAAAAAAAAAAAAAAATAAAAATTAAAAAAAATTAAACCTGAAATTTAAAAAACTGACCTGAAAAAAAAAAAAAAAAAAAAAAAAATTAAAATTAAAAAAAATTAAACCTGAAATTTAAAAAACTGACCTGAAAAAGGGATCCTTTCTTAATGATCTGCCTCCATATTTTTTCTCGTAGTACTGTAAGAGGAAAATCCACAGCACACACTGCAGGTAAGGCTAAAAGAAAAACAGGTTACAGCTCGTGGCTGAATCATTTGGGTTTTTTTTTTTTTTCCCCCGTGTACCAACAGAACCAAAACCACATACATCAGGTTCCTCTCCATCACTGAAAAACTTCATCACAATTTTTTTTTGCATGTCGTACAATGAGTTAAGAATAAATGTTAATGGATGGACATATATACACTACCAAATGTAAAATAGAGAGCTAGTGGGAAGAAGCCGCATGGCACAGGGAGATCAGCTCAAGTGCTTTGGGACCACCTAGAGGGGTGGGATAGGGAGGGCGGGAGGGGGACGCGAGAGGGAGGAGATGTGGAGATATACGTGTACATACAGCTGACTCATTCTGTTATACAGCAGACACTAACTTGACATTGTAAAGCAATTATACTCCAATAGAGATGTTTAAAAAAAAAAGAATAAATGTTAATACAAACCAAGGTTGAGTTTTAGTAAAATGATCCTTCACATACTTTTCTACCTCTGTAAAGTTCATCTGTTGTCAGCTTCATAAATTATAATTTTAAAAAAAGCTTTGTTTTTGCTTCTATGGAAGCCAGAATTATCATTAAATAGAATTAATGACGTGAAAAAAACAAGTACATTAAAGTGGATGTATCCAGTAACTGAAATGCACATTAGCTAGCATTAACTAACACACTTGACTTCTTATGCACCTTCATTTTTATGCAACGGAATAAAAACTAAAAAGAGAGTTAAAACCATATGACCAAACCACTCATAAGGTAACGTGCTAACAGTTATTTCTTACCGATATAACAGCCACCAAAAGACGATCCCATGGGTTGTAGGTGTCCTCTTTTTTCTGCATATTCTTCCAAGAAATCTAAGACAAAACGTTTTGAAAATTTATATGTGGCTGTGATACTGTGATATAATGAAATGTGGTCTTTGACCACAGTTCCTGGCACAGAACTTCTAAAACCCTTGGAATTTCCTGAGTGACAGAGGGGACAGGAGTGTCTCTCATCGCATAAAACAAGCCCCTCTCAACCTCAGCTGAGTCTATGCTAAAGAGGGGACTCTCAGAGGAGGATGGAGGCTGACTGACAGAGGACCAGCCAGACTAGAGGGCTGGAACTTCCGGCCCCAGGTGCCACCACCAGGGAGGGGAGAAGAGCCTGGAGACGGATGAGCTCAAACTGCCCAAGTCATGGGACGTCCACAAAGCCTCTAACGCGGGGCTCAGAGAGCATCCTCGCGCTGGGATGACGACTCACTCCGAACTGCACAGGGACAGGAGTTCTGCCCTTGGGACCTTTCTGGGCCCTGCCAGCCAGTTCCAGAGCAAAGTACTGACCCCCGGCAAGGGGTCCAAGTCAGACAGAACGTGGGTGGCCTGGGGACCCACGACCCGTGACTGGAATCTGAAGCGGGGGGCTGCCTGCGGGACTGACCCCTGAACCCGTGGGGTCTGCGCTAACTCTGGTCAGTGCCAGAACTGCTGAATGTCAGGGAAAACCCACACATTCGGTGTCGGAAGCGCTGTGCGCAGAGGAACCAATTTTCTTTTAGCTGCGACGTGTAGAGACGTTCGATTAAAATGAGAAACATGTATTTAACAGCAAACACGTCTTCTCTATAAATTAGCTACCTGTTAATATTTATAGCCATGTTTTGTAGTTAGATTAAAACCTTCCTCACCCCAAAATATGCCTATCAGAGCAGGTATAAATTAAATTATAAACTTAAGCCAAAAAAAGGGAGGGGAGAGAGGTAAGGAGGTGTGTCAGCAGAGTTAATCAGCAATCGTCCTAAATTAATAATTCATCACTTAATTTTTTTTCTAACCACAGAAATTGTTTTCAGTTAACCAGGCTTAATAAAATTAATTTGTTCCTCTATTTTTTTCTTGAAAAAAAAAATCGCTCAAACTTTATTTTTCCTCACCCCTGTATAGTACAATACACTTAAAAAACTCCCCCAAAACGCTCCCCCAAAACTCCCCAGTCCAACACATATGGACTTGCCATCAGATCATACTGCTAATTTATGTGCATTGTTTTGGGCACGAAAGACCATGTAATGAACACAGTCCTTCTCCGTTGAGAATCTGCAGTTTAGAAACCTGCTTGAAAAGGTTCCACAGTAATTTTACATTAACTGCTACATTAATAATATTTAAATCAGGTACCAGCAGAGCCAACAGGATTTTTTGTTGTTGTTGTTGTTACTACCTCAGTACAAGGGCTAAAAGATCCCAAAGATTAGGCAGAGTAATTACTTACCCTGTTAAAAAAAATATTAGAACACCTAACAGACCTACCTTTATGAAACAAATCAGGCAACCCAGAAGCGGATAGATAGGAATGGCTATGCACAAGGCATAATGAAGAATAACTGTAACTGTATATCCCATAAAATAAGTTATTTCGGTGACTGCAATGCAAGCCAATGCTGTCTAAAGAAAAAAATGAGAAAACAAGTGAAAAGATGTTTAGCAATTTCAAACACACTTACTGGGTGCCTCAACATTAACTAAGTCTTTAATCTTCTAATAAAACCTGGAACCACAGCCGATACTTAGCCAGAAAGTGTCAGAGCGCTGATACCAGTTTTTTGTAGCTGGCATCCTTGTCATGCTAGTTGTTAAATGCAACAAAATATCATCCCTTCATGGAGTGGATGGGGCTGAAGACGAATATACACACTAACAGACGCTGCTAGCTAGCTAAGTTCTGCACTTAGAAAAGACACAGTAACCCTTTCAGTATAATCATGAAAAGAGTTCATGACTTTCAAGTAACGTGCTAGGAAAAGCTGAGACAAAATAATATAAAATGTGACTTACCACAGAATAGATAAATGACCAAAATTCTTTGGTATTTACAATTTTTTTAAAAGTGAAAGAAGTAATATAGGTAAACAGAATAACTGATGGGACATAACCAATAAGGCAAAAAACCTGGAAGACAGAAATGTGTATTTTTATTTAAAAATATGAGTAGCTATAGCCGCACACATGATGTAAAATACGAGTCACGTTAAGTCATTAGGGGATAACTGCTCTTCAAGCTTTACTGCTCAACAAATCGCTCCAAAAAAAAAACGGAAACTGTAGCTGCTTGAGGAGTTTCTCCTAAATCAGTGAGGAGTTTAGTTTCTCCTAAATCAATAAAACTCACTGTTAGCGGTTTTTAACTGCTAACACAATCTTGAATAAGCCATTTAAGCTAAACACTATTTGTAGCTCCTTTTTTATGCCAAGGAAAATACTGTCTCTTACCATTTTATTATGAAAAGCAAGCGTAGCTGGTTACGGCTTTATCAATCTCCATCAACTATTAGCTTCCATTTTACTGTACAGCACTTAATGCACTTTGTAAATTTTTAAGAAAAACATTTATTACGTTATAAGGTGGAAATTAATCTGTAAGGTCAGGATGGCCTCTGGCAGAGCTCCTAAGTTGACTTTCAGCAGCCCCAACCTACCAAGCTCTGTTTTCGCTTTTTTCTAATGTAATTCATAGGAAAGGATCTAGTGTCAGTCCTTGACATACGAATATGAATATGAATGCAAATCACACTCTTCCCTAGTATTTGAAGCCACACTTTAAATTATGGAATAAAAGAGCTTCTTCTTTGTGAAATTATTTTCAGGCACAGAGACAAAGACGACATTTAAAGCAAGGACTGTTTAAGTATATTCCTGACTGCATACAAGTAGGCAGTCTGCATGAAAGACCACCTCAGTTTCAAGGAATTATTTCATGATGGTAAAGTTATTGCTTTTAAAAACCACTTAGGGCAATATAAACTGCACTGATTATAGGTATCGTATACAAAAATTAAATAGATGTCGGTTCTGTTTTCTGGAACGTCTCCATTACTCAATCAGACAATTATCACATTTATAAAGATCTAGCTTTTTAAAATAACATTTTATTTATAAATAGCATGAATACAACTGATGTTAACTTACCACAGAAAGGAACTTGACAGCATAAAAATATAATCCATGATGAAATGAAAATAAACTGCCTAACATCAAAGTAAGAACCACAGAGAATAAGGGGACGTCAACAAGAGCCTGTCCAATCCAGTATGCAGAAGGCAGAAGGCCCGAAAGTTTAAGTTGAGTGTAAGCTTTGATCTAAAAAAAAAAAAAAAAAAAAAA